AATACTTGGACCAAGGGCATGGGATCCCAAATGCTGGGATTAAAAGTGTGTGCCACCACTGCCTGGCCTCTGTGGTTGACTAGTGACTAGCTCCGCACTCTGATCTCCAGAGAAGCTTTATTTGTTAAAGCACAAACAAAATATCATGATGAGCTGCTTTTTTTTTTCCTGAAGAAGAGTGCCACTAGGCAAATACAAATTGCATGCCTAGTCTATGCATGGTGGTGCATGCCTCAGATCCTAGGACTTGGGAGGCAGAGGCAGGTGTAAATCTTTGTGAGTTTGAGGCCAATCAGCTCTACATAGTGAGTGCCAAGCCAGCCAGAGCTACACAGCAATACCTTGTCTCAAAAACAGAAATACAAAATTACATATCTATTCTAAATAGTCGATACATCTTGTCTCCACTTCCTCACTCCCATTTGCCACTAAACCACTAAATCCCCGCTCTCGGTCTCGTACTGAAGCAGCCTTTTAAGTGACAATCAGCAGTTTCATGATTAGTAATCTGACTATTCCCAGGCTAAGCAGACAGTGTGCCTATCTCAGCTTCAATTTCCTTCTCTGCAAAATAAATACAAAACAACACTTTATTGGGTTGGCACCAGCATTAAATAAACTAAAGCAAAATGATTATATAACAGAGGGTATAGAACATTCTGGATGTATTTCTTAGCTAAATTTAATTTTAAAAAAGACAATAAAACCATTAAATCTTATTTCATCAAACTGATCAAGAACTAGTCCCAAATCTTCAATGCAAGTTCTTTTTAAACACATGTTGAGGTTAGTACATAGGAAGTCTCCAAAGGGCTGGGGAGATGGCCCAGTGGGGAAAGAGCTCGCTGTGTAAGATTGGAGACCAGAGTTCAGATCCCCAACACTCATGGAATGACCGGGTGTGGCAGTGAACATCTGACCCCAGGGCTGGGGGTATGTCAGAGGCAGACATTTTCTAGGAGCCTGCTGGCAAGCCAGACTAGCCAAAATGGCGGGCAGCTGGTTTACTGAGAGACCATGCCTCAAAATAGAAAGTATAATAACAATAAAAACAGGCATCCTGTTGCTGGCCTCCGGCCTCCACATATGCACACACAGGCAAGTGTACCCTTGCACACACATACACAGTGCATAGCCCCTCTTGAGTGTGAGCAGGTCTGTGACTTGGTCTCTCAGGGATAGCTATGGCAATGCTGGTGGAGGCCACTGTTCTCACCATTACATGTGGCACAGAGCTAACTTGCTAGCAAAGCTTCTCTCTGCAGGCCTGATGTGATGCGTGTGTGTGCATACGTGTTAGTGTATGCGGTGTAGTGGCTTGTATGAAAACACCCCGCATATGCTCAGATGTTTGAACATTTGGTATCCAGCAGGTGACGCTGTTTGGGGAGATTTAGGAGGTGCAGTTTTCTTGTTGGAGGAAGCCACCGGAGGCTAGTTTTGAGTTTAAGGTCTCTTGTCACTTCCAGTTTGCCCCCTCTCTCTGCTTCAGGCTTGCAGTTGAAGATGTGCCCTCTCTGCTTGCTGCTTTTGCTGCCATGACTCCCCATCATGATGGATTCTTACTTCTCTGGAACTGTAAACCCAGTTAAACGCGTCCTTTTACCGGTTGCCTTGGTCATGATGTAAACTGAAGCTGGGATAGGCAGCCTGAGCAGTCAGATGTACTAACAGTGGTCATGGTAGCATTTTATCATGCTCACAGAAAAGTAACTACATATGGGAAAAGATGAGTGAGTGTTCGTGTGTGTGTGTGTGTGTGTGTGTGTGTGTGTGTGTGGTAAGCGGGATAAGGACACACCATGCAACTAACTAAAGGCCAGGCAGATACAGAACTAATTTGTTCAATGTATGAACTTCAGCATCAGTTTGCCTGTCTTTTTTTTTTGTTTGTTTGTTTGTTTTTTTTTTGAGACAGGATTTCTCTGGTTTTGGAGCCTGTCCTGGAACTAGCTCTTGTAGACCAGGCTGGTCTCGAACTCACAGAGATCTGCCTGCCTCTGCCTCCCAAGTGCTGGGATTAAAGGCATGCGCCACCACCGCCCGGCCAGTTTGCCTGTCTTTGAAAGGCATCTCCTTCAATGTTGTTGGGCAGAGGAAACAAGTATTTTCCCTATGACCATTCCAGAACATTCTCTTCTATCCATTGGGGCTGCTGAATATAAAAAGGTCACTCAGCTGGGCATGGTGGCACACACTTTCAATCCCAGCACTCGGGAGCAAAGGCAGGCCATCTCTGTGGTTTGAGGTCATCTGGTTTGTGTGGCGAGTTCCAGACCAACCAGAGCTACAGCACGATATCCTGTCTCAAAGACCAATCAGTGCAAAGATGGATAGGCCCAATTGAGGACCTGCGATGCTGAGAGAATCAAGTGTCAGGAACGAAGAGGCACTGGAAGTCAGGAGAAAAGGTGCCAATTAGAGGCAGGCCCAGGTTTAGGTAATCTCACTTTTGAGAATTTATGGAGAGGAGCCTGGCGGGCAGTTTTCATGTCTTGGAGTGCCTTAGACATTGGGAACAGAACTCTGAATAGGCCTGTCCCTGTTCATTGGAAGCAGGAAGAGCCTGGTCTGACTCCCAAAGGAGACTACTTTTAACTGTAGCAGATGTAAGTAATCAAGCTTCCAAAGCTCTCAGTCAGCTGTTGGAGACTCCGACCTGAGAGGGAAAGCTGACTTACTGGGAGGGCAGCCAACACAGACGATGAGGATGTTGGGAGAGGAGAGCCATGGAACAGTGCCATCTAGACCCCATATTGGGAGTCTGTAGTCTCAAGGGACCCAGCCCAGGACTGTGAAGGCCACGTTGGGCACTGGTATAGAATACACCATCTTCCCAGAGAGCTGACTACATTGTGCTGAGCTGAGCTAGGTCCCACAGTGCTGAACTAGAGGATTCTTAAGATGCTGGAGAGGATTAAGAGTCAAAGTTACAACCAAGTATAACACTGCAGGCTGCAGTCCTGGCACACAGGAACCAGAGGCAGGGGAATAGCAAGTTTGAGGCCAATTGAAGCTATATAGTGAGACTCCTGACTAAGATAAAAGCTATCAAGTCTCTTCTTCAATGAAAGACAGACTTGTCTGAAATTTATTTTCTTTGTTTTCTTGGTGGTGGGGATGGGATAGTGGTGTTGGGTAGGGGTGTGGGTGTGGGATGAGTTAGGGGTGTGGGGTGAGGTAGGAATGTGGAAGTGAGTGGGTAGAGCAATCTTCTGGATGATAGCACCTGATCACTGGGGCACGCACTTTAACTGTGTTTTGAGTGTTAGCCTGAATGTATGTCTGTGCACCACATGTAAGTCTTATGCCCATGATGTTTAGCAAAGGGAATTGAAGTTATAGATGGCTGTGCTCTGCTGGGAAACAAATCCAGGTTCTTTGCAATTACAATAAATACTCTGAACCACTGAGACATATTCCCAACCTTTTTAAAAAAACATAAAATGGATTTGTTTAGTGGGTTCACTCTTTATTACTTGGAGGCACTGGATTTATTTTAAATGTTTATTGTGGAGGCTCAAGAGATGGCTCAGCAATTAAAAACACTTAGTGCTCTTGCGGAGAACTAGATTGGGTTTCCAGAACCCACATTAGGCAGCTCATGCTGCCTGTAACTCCACCTCCAGGGGATCTGAGGGTACCTGTATGTACCTAGTGCACATAAACATACACACATATACACAATAAGTAAAATATTAACTGTGCACCTGTTGTGTGTCAGGTACTGTGGGCACAGCGGCTGAGGGAGCAGTCATGGACAAAGTGACATAAATCTATAAGGAGCACAGAGAATAGCAAAATGAGTAGCTACAATAGCACCTTGTCAGCAAAGTGCAGTCCGGAAGGGGTAAGGAGGACTGTGGGCCACATTGCAGTTTTAGCAGTGGCCAGGAAGGTCATAATTTACCTTTAGGGACAGTATGTCTCAGAGGCACAAATGAATAAGTACAACAATTTCTATGTGTTTTCCTACCTTCCCTTCTAGTTTTCGAGACAGAGTCTCACTGTGTAACCCTGGCTGGCCTGGAAATTACTTCGTAGAGCAGGCTGGCTTCCAAGTGCTGGGTCTCAAGGTGTGCACTCACATGCCAGCGTTAAATGGTCATCCTTCCTGAAGCTGCTGATTGTGTGCTTTCTCCTTTAATGATGGTGGTGGGTTACCACTGGTGATTTCCAGATGGTAAAGTTGGGTTTGGATCTCACAGACATACCCAATGTGATCACAACTTTCTGTCCTAATGGTTGTTGGTATTCTGGTGCGATTTCAGCTTCCATGAACTTCGAGGCTCACACTGATGCCCTTCTTTTGGATTGTCAGCAAGTTTTAGCTTCAAGGTTGAGGTAGCCTCGTACCTCCATGCCTCTGGATTATTCGGTTATTTCTACTCTTTGGGTAACCCATGATGTTCTTGGCTTCTTCTGAAAGATGATGCTGTATGAACAACCTTCTCGACAGTATAAAACTCAGGCTTCCTATCCTTGTCAGTCTGCTTATATGTGCTTTATGCTGATGTGTGATTCCCCTCTGTATGCTATGAATATGTCTTATTACCAATGTTTTATTAACTTCCTATGGCAAGGCAGAATATAGCCAGGCTGGAAGAATATACAGAGAGTATGTGGAGTCAAAGAGATACCAGGTAGCCGCCAAAGGAGAAAGATGCCTACCCAACGGAACATTACCGGTAAACCGTAAGCCTCATGGTAAAATATAAAATAATGGAAATGGGCTAATATAAGAGCTAGCTAGCAATACACCTAAGAGATTGGCCAAGCAGTGCTACAATTAATATTCTGTGTGATTATTTTGGGTCTGGGCGGCCGGGAACGAATGAGCAGTCTCCGTCTACATTATGCTTTAATGTTCAAGGTTTTGGCAAAAAGTTTCTTGCATCACCTTGTTACCTTTTACAGCCATGTCTACAGTAATGTCTTCTTTCATTCCCAAAGACAGGTTATTTCTTTCTGTGTAGGTATTTTACCACAGGCTAGCTACTTGCATCGGTTTTCATAGTAACCATTGCTTTTTGAATGTACAAATGTCTAGAATTTGCTTTTTGACTCTAGTAAGAAGGTAAATTGTGGACAGAGAACACATTCTATGTAATTTCAATACTTTTAAATTTGTTAAAACTTGCTCTGGCTTAGTTGGTAAGGTCAGTTTCTGTACTGTTCTGTGCACTTGTGGAACAGCAGTTCTGCAGCGCAGTGTGCTTGCATTCATGAATCGGGTCAATTTTGTTAATCAGCTTGTTCAAAATTTTGGCTTCTTTCCTAATTTGTCTTATCAGTTTGAGAAAAGAATACCGAAATCTTCCAAAGACGATTATGAATCCAAATGTTTTACCTTCTAGTCTCTAGGAAGGATAAATTTGGGAGAAGTGTAGTATGAAAAAAAAATTAAAAACAAAAATACAGGATAGCCAATCAAAAAAAAAAAAAAAAAAAAGGAAAGAAGGAAAACAAAACCCAAACCCAGCCAATCAGCCCCAAACTCTGAAGTGGAACAAAGCCCAAACTACAAAGGTGTATTCAAGTGTAATGTATCAGTAGCCAATGTCACCTAGTTGGGCTAAGGCCTTCAAGAACAAAACTGTCAAGGTAGATTATGAGGGAAAAGCCTTGCAACCTTGTGCTATTTGTAGGAGCCACATGTAGAATCAGAGACCAGCCAGTCCAGAGTTAAGTCATATTACCAATGGGTGACATTACTTTGGTGGAATCAGGACTCTCATGGTGCTGTAGAAGTCACAGATGTCCCTGCGACCACCTCCTTCAGCCTTCCATCTGCCCCTTGGGTGATAGGAGAGAAGTTCCCAGGTGTGGCCTAGGGTCACTTCCCAGAACAGTACGGGCAGACCCTCTCTGGGCCCCACACCAGGCCCTAGATCTGCACCACATTTAAACAGGCTGTCCAGAACAAGCCTCTGCTGATCCATTCTCAGTGAATACAGAGGGCTTTCTGGTAGTCAGCAGCGACAGTCCTGGAGGCCGCCTGGAGTGAGTGTGACTGTAGCAACCACCACACAACTTCAGCTGGTTCCATGTCACTGTCTGACTGGATCTGAACCACTCATCCTGAGCAGGCACAGCAAAGGGAGGTACTTAGCACCCAGCAGACGCCAGGCCCTAGCAACTCAGTCCCGCATTGCTGTTTGTCCACTCGTGCTGGCTGTCTGCAAGGCAGATGTGCCAGGGAGAGTATCACGGGGAGCCCTTTCACAGAACAACACGGCCTCCTGTTTACAATTAAAAGAGTCACTCAAGCAGGGCAGACTTCCCTGTCCTAGCCAGGGCCACCCACACCAGGTGCCAATTTGTCTTATCAATTTAAGAACACCCAAGTCTCCCAAGTAGGATTTTGAATGTGAATGTTTCTTCTCTGCCCTCTGAACCTGTCTTACCCCTGCCCATTGGCACTGGAGGCACCAGCATTGCCCCGCTAGCCCAGAGATGCAGCTGCTCATTCCTTACAGGTGGAGGTTGCGGCCCTTTGCTTCTACTCCAACCTGCAAGCAGGGAGCTGGACTTGTCAACACCCTGTGCATACTCTGTTTTACGCTCTAGGCGGACTTTTTGGGGGTTTGCCTTAGTCCCTAGGTCAGTGGTTCTGAACCTTCCTAATGCTGTGACCCTTTAATAGAGTTCCTCATGCTGTGGTGACCCCAACCATAAAATTATTTCTTTGCTTCTCATAACTATTATTTGGCTACTGCTATGAACTATAACGTTAATATCTGATGTGACCCCCTCGCGGGCCACGAACCACACTCTAACATACTTTAATCTCTGTGCAAACCATACTCACCAAGTCCCAGGCATGGCTGCCTAAGGGACTCTCAACTCCTGGATATCTCCAGAGACCGAGAGTCACTGGCAGAGCAGCCAGAAACTGCTTATGATTGTCATGGACAAGGCCACACTACCTTCCCAGCTCCCGTGTGGACAAGCACATCTCCTGAAACGTCCTCAGGTTTAAAAGGAACTCAGATCAGCTCCGAAGGACGTGAGCTGAGTGAATGTGGATGGGCAGCGGTGGCAGAACCAACCATCTCATCAGGGCAGAAGCAGGTGGAATGGCATCTAGGCAGTCAGGCCAAGCCCGAGACCGGCCCAGGTCTCAGCTGTATTATAAGCTAGATGGTGCCCTCCTCCTCGTTTATATGCTGAAGTCTTAATCCTAATAGGCACGGCCAACCCGCAACACTCCTAACCTGCTTGTAGCTAAGGAATAAATACTACATATGCAATCTAACACAAACTTGTAAACATATTTAAAACATTTTTTTTAATCTCAACTGTCTGGTTCTTGAATGTGAACTTTCTAGATGACAACACCATGTCATAATGCCAAAAGGCTGACCATACTGCGCACCCCGCCGACACTTCAGAAGGTGATGCTCCTTAGAGTCTTTGGGGAATAAATTCAAGTGAGAATGAGTGCCACCCGAAACATCTGTGTTGTGGCAGAAAGGGCATTTGGAGAAGATGCCATGTGAGCATGAAGACAGCCCCCAGCAGAGCCAGATGCCCTCTGGAGAACCAACCCTGACAAGACCTTGATTTGGGACCCCTGGTTTCAGCTGCCCAGACTAAGCCTGTAACACCTGTGCACAGCCCTAGGAGACCGATAGATGTGCATGCTCTTCCCCAGGAGCCCCGTGGCATGCTGCACCAGCCTCACAGCACATGCTCACTTCTCTTGAGGTGTAGGTACAGAAGAAGGGAACATGCCTAACTCTCACTGTACTGGTGACAATCCAGGAGACCATGCCTAAGTGCTGTCCCCTCTGAGCACCCTTCCATAGAAGCCAATGGCCTTTTCTTAGCAGCTAATATATTTAGTTTTAGAATCCATGTGGATCAATTCAGCTCAGACCACAGGCCAGCCTCTCCCTAAATGAGATCTGTGAAGTATTCACTCCAGACAGATAAAGGCTGGCCTTTCAGTGTCCTTGAGATCAGGAGCAGCTGGCTCTGTGCATATGCTATATGCATGACACTCACTGGAAACCTAGACGGCTCTGATAACGGAGGAAGAACAACTGGCTGACTGAACCTGAGCCAAGAAAGCCAGAGGTATGGCTGAGAAACGCCTCTGTAGTGGCTTTATGCAGACGCCATGGGAGCCTGACACAGCAGAGGCAAAGGTCAGACTTGCAGCAGCACTGAGAGGGCTGGCTGAGCGGTAAGGAAGACACAACCCCTGGGAAACAGGCAGCCTGCAACGGCTGTACCCCAGAGGGTCCCACCAGGCACCCTCACAAGCCTCAGCAGAGGAACGGCACAGTTAATGGGCCCCCCACCTTGGATCCCTGTGGTCACCTCCCCAGAGGTCTTTGCTGAGGGCTCCCCCTAGCAGGCTGTTAGGTTCCTTGTGCTGGTTTGGAATGCTGATGGCTGCCACTCTAGCGGCCTGAGGTTCTGTGTCTGTACTGGTTGCTGGTGAGGCCACAAGGGGGACCAAGGCAGGAGGCACTGAAGGGGAGAGGGGATTCTGGTGGCAACCAGTGTGTTCCAGAAGGGGATGTGCAGTCAGCACAGTGTGGCCTCCAGGTACTGCGATCTGCTGGGATGAGCTACAGGTGGGCCTGGAAGATTCTACCAAGGAACCATCTGGAGGCAGTTGAGGCACCAAATTGCCCTTCTCTCTAGAGAGTCCTGGGCGGTCACCAGCCTTGCAGCCTTCTGTCTGGGCCCGCAGGATCTTTGGTCTGGGCTTGGTGGGGCCCTTCTGCCTCCAGTAGGGTAGGTGTCTGTGGTCCAGTCTGCTGGCCCAGCGAGGTCTCCGGGAGAGGGCCAACCGCCAAGAAGCCTGGCCTTTTGGTCCAAGGCTCTGGGGGCGCCTTCCCAGCCGGTCCATCCGGGTCCTCATGGTGGCCACTTCCTGAGTCAGGCCTGCCAAGGCTGCTGCAAGCTGGTCCAGCTTGTTCGTAAGGGCAGTACCAAGGCTGTGCAGCTCCTGCTGCAGGGATCTGCCACAGGGGCATGGTGGCTGTGAAGAAGTAGGTGGCCACGTTGACAAGTCAGTTGCGGGAAGGGGAGACTTGCTAGGTGGCTCCAGAGGGTCCCCAGAAAGCAGCTTTCCTTGGGTCCTGGCTAAAACCAAAGAAGCAATGGGTAAGAGTGCTTAGGTTGTAAGGGCCTTCTCTATGGCCTCAGAGATGTATTTAGTGTACCCAGTGTCCTGCCCCTATAAAGCCTGGCTTCCAGAAAATTTTGATCTTAGGGCTGCCCCAACCCAGAAAAAAGCCTAGTTAATTCTTCAGTTTCACATCCCCTGGAGTAGGTCTCACCCTAGGCAACTAGGGTGCTGGTCAAGGCCCCTGCCATTCTTCAGCCATTTAGCTCAGAATGGAAGAGGGGTCTGCTGTTTGTTAAACCCCAGCCAAGGCTCTGCCTTTGTCTTTTCAGTACCGTTAGGGCTGCAGACAGGGAAGGACCCACACCCTGTCTCACTAAGTTCTTGAATTAAAGCAAGGATCTGAAATTGAGGCAGGGGATCACGAGTTTCAGATGGCCTGGGTTACTTATCTCACACAAAATCTTTGAAACCTTGACTGAAACAAAAACTAACAATTCAACATCACAAAACACTGTGGTCTGATGCTTTATCTGCGGGAGGGCAGCCAGGGCTTGTAACAAAACCTCACATTCTCGGAGGGGCCAAAGCTTACAGGAAAAGAAGGTGCTCAGCACCCAGCACAGGTACACAAGGCAGCAAGGGACATGTGGCACGGGCACCCGAGTCCTGCAAACCAAGGACGGCTCAGGATATGGGCGCATCATCCTGCCTGTTGTCATTGTGGGTCCCTGAACAAAACCATGTGAAGCCTATGCTCTGTGCAGGATTCCAGCCAGGTCACTTAACAGTGCTGAGGTTCAGTTAACCTCAAACCCAAACTTTGTCTCCAAATGCTTCTCAATGCCTCTAAAAGGTGAGCCTGGCACTTTTATGAAAACCCGGAAGTGAACCATGTACCTGAGTGGCTTCAATGGAAGACTTCCCTACCCAGATGATGAACTTGGACCATGTTTACCTCCTTAGGCTGGGGCCTGGGTTCTAATTTTCTCAGAGGCCACTAAAGCACAGCAAATGCTGCAGAAGTCACCTGTGCTGCTGGGTTGCCCATGTCCAGGCTCCAGGTCCTTGGGGTCTTCAGTACCCTTGGGCTCAGGCCTTTCCTCTGGCTGAGGGGCAGGCCATGGGTACGTAGTTGCCTCTGTAGAAAGAGCACAGAGCACTTGGGACAAGGACAATATTGTTTTGTTAGTGCCACTCCAACATGGGGATATTCTGATGAGCCACATGTACCCATTCCCACCGTCATCCCAATGGCAAATGTGCAACTTTTAAGCAGTAATTAACTCGGGTGCAATGTGCTGGGGATCCTAACACTGGTGGGCTGGCCTGCTGTGGCATGTGGAGCACACGCTGCCGTGTCCTGCAAATCCTCAGTGACCTGTAAGGAAATGTGACAATTCCAAGGTCCCTACCTCCTCTTTTTCCTTCTTCTTTAACTTCAGCACTGCTGACAGGGCCAGGCTGGAATGTGTACTCTGCAGTCCCTTCTCTTCTGGGTGACTGGGACTTGACTCCTGTCCCTTCTGCCCTTCCTGTTAGGAACAAAGTCTGGGTCACAGCTCAGGTGGAGAGTAAAGTGGCTTGTAATACCAGGTGTCATCTCTAGACTTCTGGGCTAATCCCAAGAAGTTCTATTCTCACTGTGTATGAGATGTTGGGGACCACACCCAGAGCCTCATGCATGCTAGAAAAGTCCACTGAAAAAGATCACTTCTGATATTTCTATTGTTTGCCAAGTTTAAAAAATGTTATTGAATACTAACTATATGGTGTGTGTACATATATATATATCTGTATATATACACATACATACATATATATGCATGTATGCATGTATTAATGAGCATATATGTAGATATTATGTACCTATCATTCAGTGGTTTACCAAGATCTCCTTACAGAACACAGCCCTTGGATCAGCCTCCCTCACAGGATCTAAAGTTCAACAAATTAGGGGGATGTTTTAATGAGAGTCAACAGAATAACAATGAGACTCGGAGAATAAAGTCTGGACCTACGGACCAATGGGGACTGGTCTTTATCATCCAGGAGGGCTCCAGGCTTACCGAGGCTGCTGCAGTCCCTGGGCTCTGTTCTCGCAGGGTCTTCAGCAAGACAACTACTGTTGTTGACTCTTGGAGATGCTCCAGAGACAGGGCACAGAGGGCCAGGACCCTTACTGGAGGGAAGGGGGTCTCTCTCTGTGTCATAAGTAAGCTAGCATCAGAGTACTGACAGGCACCTCAAGGAGCAGCTCACTGCCACCCCCACCCCACGGCAGCAGACTCACTCTGGAGGGGTGGCTGCCAGAATGCAGGCTCTGGCCTTAGGTCTTCTCCATCGGAGCTGCTGACGCTGGAGCTGGAGCAGGGGCTGGGACTGGGGGCAGGGCCAGTCACGCAGGTGAAACGCAAGGGTCTCACGGGCAAGATCCCCCTCAGAGAGCTCTCCAGGCAGTGCAGGGGGGAGGGCATGGTGGCTGTCTCTAAACAAAGGAGAAAAAGAGTTCACTACCCAGTACCCGACAGCACAGTTTTGATGATCAGATACTCAGGATTCATCCTTTTCTGCTCAGCCACAGTCCATATGGGCTCTGGGGGAGGGGCCTGAACAACTTACTTTCTGGTCCCATGTCCCTCGGCAAGTGAGCTGGGGAACTTTCTGGAAGTTCCAAGCCCTTAGAAGCTACTTCTGGTCAGGTTCCAGTTGGGTCCCGTGTCTTGCAGGCTAGGCAGCCCTTCCCATCGGGTAGGCTGCAACTCTCAGCTTAGCAGACCCTCTACCCAGCACTATGCAAGAGCTGGCAGTTGAGGGCTACTGATGAGCTAAGTTATCCTTCCACCCCATGAAGACTAGAACGTCCTGCTGGAGCTGCCTAAGGTCCACAGTGTGTACAGGGGTACCCCTTAATCCCAGCAGCACCTCCACTGCAGACACCCCACAAGTAAACCAAACATCCTATTCTTTCTCAGTCCACTCTGTTTCTGTCTACTTCTATATTCCAAGCAAGGGAAGGAACAGAGCAATAGAGAGATGGGAAGACTATATTGTCTTGGCAAAAGCTAACTGGAAGGAAACTATGGTGTGAACACTGAAGGCAGCTCACCATCTTTTGGCCATTGCCACGTTCCTGGTCTGACAGTCATCTGTGGACTGCCTAGACGGAGATTCCTGTTGGGTACTTCTCCTCGACCCTGTCCGAGGTGGGGTGGTTCACAGGCCTCGCCCCTCGGTCCTGTTTTAATGAGAACAGTTCTGACAGTCCTATGGGACCTCATACTGCCACAGAATGGACAGATTTCTACCACTGCCAGGCTTTGAGCACACAAGTTTCAGGTGTGGAAATGACCATGCTTGGTCACTACACCAGCCCAAACCCCTGGGATCTCTTTACTCCCAACCCAAACGACATGGAATCCCAGAAGGTATATAACTCAGTGCCCAGACAAGGGGATGACACAGTCAGCAAATCGGAGCAGCTCACTGGAGCAGTGGTGCTGGGCCTTCCCGTCCTGGACTCCATCACTCACTTAACTGAGTCTGCCTGAGTGGGGAAGTGACTCTTTCCAGAACATCCTCTCAGCTCAGCTGAGATCTGGCCTGAGGGCTGCTATGCCACTGCCAAAGTCACAGTGCAGGAGGGATTGCTTTCCCCCAGGTTCCCACAAATACCACGCTACCTTCTCTGTCTGCAGTCCAGTTCCTGGGCTCTGGTCTCTTCAACCCCCTGTCTACAGTCAAGGAACAAGGCCAGGCAGCCTGTGGCCTGGGAACTGGGATCTCTCTCAGACAGTTCTCCAGGCCTTGGAGTGGAGAGTTTCCTGGTGGATATCCTGTAGCCAAACATGAACAATCTTAGATGAGTAGCCAGTGCTCTGTGAATCCCTGAAGCCTGCCTCTTTTGCCCTGATTAGAGCAGAGGAAGGAGGCTCAGAATATAGGACATGTCCTGGGAGCTCAGGGCCCCAGAAGAAGACATAGCCCCACATACTTGCCATCCCTGTTTGGGGTAGCCCTGCTACAGAAGTCTGCCTTGGGGGGTAGAATGAGAGCGTCTAGTCAAACGGGTCTAGTTTAGCACAGTGGTTGTCACCATGTTGAGGGTGGGCTGCCTGCTTAGAGTGAAGGACACCCTAACAATCCAATGTGCACAAGGCTTCTTTCACCCCTCCAAGGAGGGCAATGATGCAGGCCTTCTTGCCTCTCAGGGTACTCCTACTGACAGAGTCTTGTGCAGACAACGGGAACTAGATGATGTGAAAGTCTAGAGGGATAAGGTAAGTAGACAGAACTGCCATGAGCCATTAGGCACCTGCTGTCTGCTCTGGAACCAGGCAGAGGTTGTAAACAAGAGGCTATCATGTGGGGCTGGTGTAGCATAGCATAACATGCAAGTATAGGCCAAGTGTTTGCCAAGCACACCCGAGTTTGATCTCCGGAACACATATGGTGTTGGAAAATTTAGAACTGACTCTTGCAATTTATCCTCTGACCATTTGTAAGCCACGGTACACATGGGGGGTGCACTGAAGTTGAAGGACATTTGAGTTCTATACTGGGGGAGGTTCCTCAGTGGGTTCAGGAAAAGAGAAAGCAGGCACAGGCTCTGCAATGAAAGCCGTCTCCCATACGCTACAATAGTAACTCCTACTTGTAGCAAAATGTCACTTAGCTCTTCTATTGCCAGGCAAGAGCAAAGTAAGGCATCCTGCCCATGATTAGGCAGTGTTTGGCAAGACTACCAGCATCTCTGATTGGGGCAATAATAGAGTATATGTAAATGTGTGACTTGCCCAGCGTCTGGTTTTGTCTGTGCCTTCTGTTGTCTGGGCCTGTATTCAGCTCTGCTGCTTTAACACTGGGTAGCACTCCGAGCCAAGCCTTACACTGATTCTGCTGGAGACTTAGAGATTAGGAGTTTGGTAGGCGTGGGCTTGGGGACTTTGAGAAAATGCAGCTGTTAACAGCTGTCCATGATGGCTGAAGAACAGCAGGCAGACTGTGTAACTCCTCAGGGCAAACTAGAACGAGTCACTCTGGGCTGCTGGTGCCATGCGACCGAGGCAGATGTCAATTTACATTTCCAGGCCTTTAGCAACGGATGTGGCCAGGGCACAGCTGGTCAGATGCACTGAGTATCCACTCACAGGACAAGACAGACATGATTTTTGCAAGAGGAAAGCACAGGGGAATGCTGAGAGAGCACCAGAAGACCCCAGTCTCCAAGAGTGACTTCCTTTGGCAGGACCCAGGAAGGCACAGGTGACTAAGTCTTCTGAGATCCTTACTCTATCTTCCCTAAGTCAAAGGTCATTTAGTATTATAGACACTTCTTTTTGTCTGTGATAGGGAAGTGTTTATTATAAGGGAGATTCTGGGCACACTGCCAGCCATTGTCCTATCCCTTCTGGGCCAAGCTACTACAACAAACCCTTCTCACCCTGCCAAGACAAGTCCTGGGTCTGTTTCTGCTTTGGTATACACAGTTCTTCTGGCACTATGGCAGAGATAATAGTGGGCAAGGACCAATGTATTCCTTCCCCGAGGATTCCGACCTCAGGCTGGACCAGCTCACCTTTCCCAAGTCGATGCCCCAGATTGTTCCTGGGGCTCCTGAAATCCAGATCCCCATCACTGCTGCTGGCTGAGGAGAAGCTGGTAGGGGTACCCTGGGAACCAGAGGGTTGAATCCCAGGTCCCTCTCTCATGCAGCCCTGCAAGCTCAGAGGTAGAAGTGGCTCTCTCGTAGCTTCTGCAGAATGAAGTATAACTGGGTCAAGGAAGAGCATGACGGAGAAGTCCTTCAGCCTTAGAGTATACGGCACCAGAAGACCCAGTCCAGGGAACCCCTTCCCCTTCCAGGGTTTCCCATGGCACTGACCAAAGTCTACCTACCACTCCCGTCCCCCCACAATATAGTCTTGGGAATAAGAAGTCCTCAGAATAGGGAAGTGGGTGGGTAGAATGTGGCTCTCACCAAACCTGGATAGCTATTTGGGTCAGGCATGAAGCAGGGGTTAGGAAAGAAAGACACATATTCAAGGAGGCCCAGAGAAGATGACCAGATGGTGCCCTCAGTATTTCCCCTCACTGTGTGCACAGAAATAATTGTTAGCCTGGGCCCAAGTACCTTCACTGTGGGATCCTTGTGGCTGTAGTTCAAGCCTCTGAGATCCAGAATCTCCTGGCTGGGGACTTCTGGACCATGAGGTGGCTAGCGGCTGAAGAGGTGATGACCCACCTGGAGGAATGCCCTTTAGACAGGCCTCTAGAGCTTCTAGTGGTGAGCTTGAGGCCCTGCTGGCTGGACAAGAGAGGTCACCTTGTCATCTCTTGCTGGGCTCCGGCCTGCTAGTCAGACCCCAGCTTGGTCCTTGGCTATCTGGCTGGCCCACAGCCTAACTTCTACAGTAGGCTCCAGGGATCTGCTAAGGAGGAGATCCTCCAATGAGGAACCTTGAATGTGTTTTCTGCTTCTACAGAAGGAATGATGCTGTCCTCAGTTCTGAGAAGGGTGGACTAGCCACCTGCATGTTGTGGTCAGCTTCCACAGTCAGGACCTCACTGTAAAAAGAAGGTCCTGAAACCAGAGGGTGGCTGAGCATGGGCCTGGATTGAGAACACGGACTAAGAACAGCTTGGGAGGAGAGACGGGGGAAAGGTTCATTGACCAAAAGAGAAGCAGGTTCTTCCCTGTAGGCTTTGGAACCCAGAACTTACCGAGAGTCATGGGGCCCCAGCGGGGTACACGGACCTCTCTGGTATCTCCAGTGAAATAGGGACTGTGGCCTTGCCCGCTAAGCTGGCAGGATGCTGGCGCTGGGGGACTCTGAACCCACCTATCTTCCATTTTCACCGTGGCAAGCGTATGTCCAGCTCCATGACTCCGGCGGAGAGGAGGAGTCTGGGGGCATCTCATCCCTGTGGGAAAGGTGGCTGCTGGGAAACCCAGGTTTCAGGCTTAGACTCAACCTAAGTCTTGGGAGCTCCACTTCATAGGGCTAGGAGAGACTTCCAAGGCTCCTCTGCCCACACAGCAGTCACTGGCTCTGGGTATGATCACCTCTCAAGCCCAAGCACAGTTCCAAGTAACACCCCTACCACCTCTAGGATGCTCAGGAGCTTTCTAAGGGATGTTACAGTGAGCCATTCCCTGGTCAGCAACAAATCAGATCTTGCTCCTTGTGCAGCAGGTTTGGCTCAAACCCACCCTCTCAAGCCAAGTTCTCAGGAACACAAGTTTATTGATAAAGTGACAAATAATCCCGGTCCAAACATACGTGCTGAGAATCATATCCTCCAGCCATAGACCCTAGCCTGAACACAGGATGGCAGGAATCCCCCAGCCACAATTACGGTCTATTGTGCTACAGCTCCTGCCTATTTCATCCCCTGTCCTCCCCAATAGTCCTTCGAAAAATTCCCTGTAACCCTTTTCTTCCTATAACAGGAGCCAGTTTGGAAAATTATGAGACACTCCTATACGCTTTGTTCTTGCACAGCGTGATGGGGTTCAGCATGGGACTGCCTAACCTGCATGCTGACTTAAGGCATGGATTTGGTTGGGAAGGGTCACATACAGCTGTGCTCAGAGCAGAGAAGCCAAAGACAGACATCTAGCTCCCTGACCACTAATCTAACCAATGACCTTTACCTCCAGAACTCCTTTTCCCTGGATCCTCCTGCAGTCGCACGTCCCCTGCTCCTGAGGGGCTGGGACGCCTGTCTGGAGCTTCTGGGATTTCCTTCAGACAGTTCAGCAGTCCTTGAAGGGGACAATCCCCAGATACTGGCTCCGTCTTCACTAAGGGAAAGGACACACGTTTCACTTAAGCTCAGGGTCCTCAGTCTCTTGACAGACAGACAAGAACTGTCCTGGATTGTAGTTTGAGCAGCACAGGGCTAAAAACCAGGACCTGTAAATCCTATGTGTGGGTAGCACCTAGCCACAGCTAGGACTCAGGGTGAAAACTGAGGGATATAGGCTGGCAGTTTCTGAGTATAACTTAGCTTCAAAGTCTATCAGGTCTTGACATACACATGAAATGTTCATACAAGAGAGGAATTCTGTAGTTAAGTTCACCCCAACCTGGAGAATGGAACAGCTGCCCTCTACAGATGCAAGAACAAAGGTCAAAGCTTCAGCAGTCTTTTGAAGGGAAACCTCAGGCAGACCTCAGTGTCCACTGACACCCCATTCATGTCAAGAGAAAGTGACATTTGAGCACCAAAGTCCTCCTCAGAGTCCCATGTCAGAAGTAGAGAACAGTGAAGAGAACAGGACAAAGCCTGCTGCTGTCATCCTTGAAAGCCACTGACCCTAGGGACACAGGAGTGGTCATCTCATGGAGACAGCATGGAGCACAGCAATAGCTAAGAATGGCAATCTGAGCTTCCCAGGGACTGTGGAGACTTTGGTCTGTGCAGGCCAGGTGCCCAGGGACTCACCCGGGCAGGGCAGGCTCCCTGGCTCCACCTCAGCTCTGGTCTGCTTCAACACACTCAGGCCAGGGAGAGAAGGTGGCAAGTCTGGGGCTGTCCCACGGTGCTGGGGCCCGGGCACAAGGATTTCCTTTAGACAGTTGATGAGGCCTTGCAAGGGACTGTTCTCAGGAGCGGTTCCTATGCACATACAAGGCAGCTAAGGTCAGTGTAGTCCTGAGAGGCAACATGAGACCCTCAGTTATTTCTGCCTTCACTGGGCAGCTAAGAACCACCCATACAAACACACAAAGCTTATCTTACAGCAGTGGCTCTCAAACCTGTGGGTTGTGACACCTTCAAGGTCACATATTGGATATTTACTACTATTGGATAGTAGTAAAATTCGAGTTATGAAGTAGCAATGAAATAACTTTAATACATGAGGAACTGTATTAAAGTATCGCAGCACTAGGAAGGTTGAGAATCACTGTCCCATAGGGTTGTCTTGAAGTTCAAATGAGCAAGACATGGCCTTCTCTGACTCTGCTCAGCTTTAGACTGCGAGACCCCAGGAAAGCCAGTCTTTCACCTGTTCCTGTGCTGTCTCTATCCTGTCTTCGATGGCTCTTGCTCTGGTCCAGGCTTTGAGTGGGATGAACAGAAGGCTCTCCTGAGGCTCCTAAGCCTTCCTTCTCTATAGACAGTGGGTTATCAGCAGTTCCTACTGCAAAATACAAAGAAAGCAGTGTTATGGGGGACTTGGATTCTGGAATCACCCCAGATCTGCTCCCCAAGAGGACAGATCACTCAAACTCTCCAACCCTGAGAGCCACCCAAATCCTAAAAATTAGCCTCATGTCAGTGCTATCTTTGGAGGATTTGTTCCAGGAGGGTTGGAGGCTATTTCCTGTTTCCTTCTGGTTTAGCTGTAAATACCCAGACTCATTTATGCTGAATGTTTCCAGACCCATTCCCTGACCCCAGTCTCTATCTGGCCCAGCTGATGGAGCCAACAGTCACAACACAGGTCAGGCTTGTACTCATGCTTCTTCTTCTTCTGGGGTGTGTGTGTATGTGTGCGCGCTGTTTTTGTTGTTGATGTTTTATTTTTCCTTAGAGACGCTTTTTCTCTGTGTAGTCCTGACTGTCCTAGGACTTGCTTCGTAGACCAAGCTGGCTTCAAACTCACAGAGATCGGCCTGCCTCTGCCTTCTGAATGATGGGATTAAAGACATGCACCACCACCACCCGGCTGCCCTCATGCTTCCTCTGTGGGGCTTGTGAGACAGATGGCACATGGAACCACAGGTTAATTGGGGTATAATTTAGGGGACTGTCCATTTTAATCTTTATTCATTTAAATATTCTAAATTAAAATACCAAAACAGGGCTAGAGAGATGGCTCAGCCATTAAAGGCTAAGCTTGCAACCAAAAATAAAAATCCAAAACATTCAGACAAGTACAATTTCAAAGTATTTTAGAAGACAAACTGAGACCCCAGGGAAACTTTAGTGAGCAGCATTACTTCCCTGCTGCTAGCTGTGCTGAGGCAGTCTGAGAATCAAAGTAGGTGCACACAGATAAGTGATCTACGGGTGTGCACATTAGGAACTGCCCAGAGTTCTCTGTGTGTCTACAGTCCTCAGCAATCAACAAAGGGATGGGCCATCTGGAACTGAGCATCAGACTACCGGGTCTGCAGTAGAGGCCAGGCGTGTTTTCTCATGATTCAGAGACCTCTGTCTCCAGTCACCTACAGAGGAAGCTGAGCCAGAGAAAGTCAAGAGGGTGCAGGGTCCAAGGCCTGATTCGGGGTTTGCAATGCTGGGTGTCCCTGTGCGCACTGGGTCAGACTCACTGGTAGGTAGGGGGCTTTCTTGTGCCCAGTCTCCAGGAGGGCCGCTGGAAGATGAGCTGCCTGTGGGTGTGGCGGCCAGGCTGGGGTGGCTTGCAGGGCTCTCCGAAAGAGAACTGAGCAGGCTGCGGGGAGGGTAAGTGTCCACGGCTCCGGCTACTGTTGGGAGATGGAGAAAATGCCAACTGGTAAGCTGTCTTAACATTTCCACAGTCAGAGCTTTCCCTGTCATGCTCCACTAATGACAACCAGGAGCCAGGGACCTATTCACTGCCACTGCTGAGCTCTGAAACTCGAAGATTTCTGTCTTGGCCATGGCCTGAAGAGCACAGAGCGGTGAGTATGAAGCCGGTGCCGCTCCACACCTCTGCTCCCTTCCCATGCCACCCAACATTAACTGAAGAGGGCTGCAGCAGGTAGAGGGCCATGGTCTAGGGTGAGGTGGGTCCTGAGCTGACTGAGTGGAGAGGGAAAAAACTGACAGAAGCAGAAAGAAAAAGGCTGGCAATAGGATCTAGGACCCACTAGCTATCTGGACAAAGCTCTGCTTCTCTCCGGTTCCCCATAGGGACCAACACACTGCTCACCACCATGCAAAGTGTAAGGCAGCAGGGAGGGATCACCACGTGACTGGACAAAGACACTGAGAGATGGCAAGAGCTGTTCCCATATCCACTAGGTCCCAAAAGCTCAGAGGATGAGCACACAGAGGAGGTCAAGAGCTGGAAGGCAGCTATGCATTGCACTGTGGACTGTAGGGAGGTCACTCTTGCAGCTTGCGTGACTTACCCTCAGGCGTCGTTCGATCCCCTTCCAGACTGGTGCTCCCACTCTCGGAGTAGTCCTCAGCACCCTTCACCTCTCCAAACAGGAACTCCGGTATCTCCTTTACCAGCTGCACTAGGGCGGTGAGGTGCAGACTCTGCTGGGGCTGCCCTCCTGTGGAAAGTGTGAGCCCTGTGCTCAGCCACCTAGCTCCCCAGGGAGCCCTACAAAAGCTGGAGTAGCCCCAGGGAGCAAATGGCTCAGAGAAGGGAGGGCTGAGGTCACGAGGTTCTGCATGTTACCCAGTAGCTCCTCTTGCCTCCTTTCCATTAAGAGCAATACTGAAGGGCCCTGTGGCTCCATCTGGCCTGCTACCTTTCTTCCCTTACTCTGGCCCCAGGGCCACCTCTACTGTCTAAGCTGCAGGCTGGCTCTGGGTAGTGGTAAGTGGGTCAAAGTCAGAGGTTCTCCCCCACGTGACCTCAGGTTTTATTCTGAACATTTCTCCATGGACTAGACTACATGCAATGAGCCTCCAACCCAGAGGAATAAGGGGTAAGCCTCAAGGAGGCCTAGACTGAATTAGCTGAAAACCATGACAAGAAGGAGGTGCTCAAAGTCTATGGGGAGGACCTACCCTGGGAACCATGCTCCACTGGGGGTTCTTGTCCCTTATCATGGTGGCTCTCTTCTGTTGTGGCTCCTCCAGGCCCCGAGGGTGACAGGAAGGCAGAGAGAGGAAGCAGCTCAGAGGTCCCTGGGGGAAAGAATGAGCAGTTACTCTGGGAACTGAGTGGCTTTTACCCTCCCACAGTCATGTGATGGCCCAGATGTCTGCTTATCTATGCATAGCTTTCCATATGTTTGTGTGGTCACCAAATTCAAAGGCCATATACCCCGATTCTGGCTCATAGAAACGAACAAAGGAACAAAGAAAAGTGAGGCTCTGGACATCCTCAAGCTCTGAACACCCCTAAAACTACTCAATTCACAGATGAGGAGGCTAAGGCCTGGAGGAGCCTCGGGTCTCACAGAGACTCAAGACCCCTGGGCAGGGACCCTGGCCTCCTTCACTGCAACCCTCTTCTGTCCCTGCAACCCATACTCTGGAGGCCTCGGGCCCTCACCCACAGACACCAACGTCTCGTAGTTTTCCCGCATCACGTCTCTGTAGAATTCCCGCTGCCCCTCTTGCAGGAGCCGCCACTCTTCTTCAGAGAACCGCACGGCCAAGTCCTTGAAGCTGATGGGCACCTGTGGGCACAGTCTCCGGGGGGGTTGGCTGCATCCATGCCAACAAGGCCCACCCAAACTGTCCCTTAGCTCAGTGAGCCACATGGGTCTCCTGGTAGACACTGGGAGCAGGCAGTGCAGACACGGGTGGGACCTAGCCTGGGTCTAACAGTTACTGGGACAAAGCTGCAGCTAGCTGGGCACCCAGGAAGATGTGCCACCAGCCACATTTTAGAAACAAGGTCACCACAGGTGTAACTAGGAATGAAATTACATTCCTTAGTGCACAGCAAGTCCTATTTGCTGTGCCAGTTACCAGGACTATCTGGGAACCTGGAACTCCAGCACAGGGGCACCGAGAGGAGGACAACGGTTACTACAAGACCAGCTTGTTACCAATGTCTAGTACTCTTTATCCCAAATTCTTGGGGTCGGACGTGTTTTGAATATTTAATTCTGAATGTTCTCATGTACATAATAAATTATTTTAGAGATGGCACTCAAGTCTAAATAGAGATTCATCTATATTTTGTTCTTTATACACCTAGCCGAAGGTAACTTTTACAGTGTTTTTTGACGCATTTGGACTGCAAGCGATCACAGGAGCTCTTATGTGGACTTCTCTACACAGGGCATCTCAGCGCTTACAAGTTTTGCCTTTTGGAGCATTTCCCATCTCAGATTTCCAGACTAGGGTTAACCAACCCATATAGCAAAGAAAAATCCCACTTCCTGCTCCTCAGCAGAGATGACATAATTCATGTCAGAAATCAAACACCCCCAACAGCTGCGGGCGGCAACAAAAAAAACTCATGAAGCCCTGAAGGTCTAAAGAAGATAGACCCCTTTTCACCTGCCAGCCAGGCAGCAGGTGAGTCAGGCACTCGTAGGTCTAACCTTTGCTTAGGGCCCCTGATCTCCAGACTCCAATCTGGCCCAGGTTCTGAGCTGCTGGGCAGAACCCACCTTCACTTTTCCAGTCCCACCTGCCCTGCAAGGCTTCGACTCTCCACAAACCCTGGTCCAGCTGCGGTTAGTTCCACAGGGAAAAGCTGTGACAGCCGCCAGCAGGTGCATGTAGCAGAAGCATGCAGTGGGAGGTGAGGGTCACAGAGGCCTTCTAGGGGCTCCACCTAGAGGCCCCAACTCACCATGCTCCCTACCCCGTGCCTCCCACAATTGCCACTTAGCACTGAAAGCCTCTAGTATACAGTCCTCAGGGACTCAGAAGAAACCTGAAAAGCGGGAGCTTCAAATAGTTCTTCACAGCCACACTCCACACCTTTATCTGCTATGCTCACCTCCTGTACCCTGTGACTTTGTAAGATGAAAGCAATCTCTTCCTTTCTGTAAAAGTCATCATTCCGTAGACTTTAAAACAGCATGAAAACTGAGACAATGACCAACACCTGATAGCCATGAACTGAAATTATGGGAGAAAATAACCACACAAGTGACACAAACAGAATGTAAATTATGGGAAGAATCCATCTAGGTTAGAAACAAGTGCGATCTGCAGGAAGGACCTGTGAAAATGGGAACACTGTCTAGTTCATGCATTTAAGTCAGTGACTTTAAAAACTGTCTCTCTTACTAACTGGCAGCCTTGCCACCCACCGCCTGCCATCTCTCTGCCTTCCATTCCTGACAGCTGACAGCCACCACTGTGCACACACTAGGCTCATATACCTAATGCCCTGACACTTTGAAGTAGTTAGGCTCCAACAACACATCTGGCTAGAGACCGCATTCCCAGTGACTGCTGACAGCCAGAAGGGCAGAAGGGATCAGAGGCAGTGAGCGCCCTTTGCCTCTTAGCTCACTGTGCATTCCCAACCATCTCTGTGGTCTGCTGGTCAGCAGCCTCCTTCCCCAAGCTTAACTTGTGCCTCTGGCCCACTGTGGCCACTATCCCTCAGACACCTCAGATACTCCACAAACCTAGAGCAGGGAGCCATTTTGCATTTCTTATTGGCCTCCTAGCATATAAAATGTGGACAATCTTAGGTTCTGTACTGAGGAGCCAACACAGCAGGCCTGCCACTGCTGCCCTCCAAAATGCCTAGACCTAGGCAGGCACCTGGGAATGTGCATCTCAAAGGATTTCTACTGGTTAACACACTAGCTAATCTGTATGATGCAGCTTGTGCTGAACACACGTCTTCTTTCTAGGAGTCTGTGACGGCAGGTGCCAGCAGAAGGTGCCTGAGTGACCTGTTCTCAGCAACAATCCTGGGTGTAGAGTCTCTGGCAAGATTCTCCCAGTTGGCATTCCACATGGGTCATTCACCATTATGCTGGGGGAGCTAAGTGCTTCTTGGAGACTGCACTGGAGGCCTCTGGGAAGCTGCCCTCGAGTTTCTCCTAACCTTGCATCTGTTGAATTTGTCAGATGTTTTCCTGTTGTCATGGATATAGCTGTGAGTCTAACTACCTGCTGAGCCCGAATTCTTATGGGCATCTCTAACTCTCAAGTGCTCTTGGGCATGCTAGCACAGGACCCCATTACATTTGGCCACCTTATAACACCTCCCCACACCCATGCATTCAACCTGTCACCTCTAGTCTCGCCTTTGGCAACTCTGCCACAGCTCTGTCCTCTGGTCCTTTCTGTGCTGCTCTCTTCCACCTCTTCCTTCTGGTATCCTATCAGCCAATGCCTGGGAGCCATGGGGGCCGGTTGGTAGAGGGGGAAGAAGCTGGTGGGTCCTCATGTGTGAGCTGCAGGCCCCAGGCCTGTGACAATAGGTTCAGAGTCCAAAGGAGCATATACATGCTGCCTACAGACCAATTACGCATTTTTACTTACACACTTTAATTATTGTTTAAACATGTTCAGATGCTGCTGTGATGAAAAAGCATGTCCTTTAAAAGTCATACAAATTATGACATATGAACATCTACCATCCAGCAGCACTAAATAGAAGACTATGTGACATCAGGGAAGTTTCACCATCAAGAAGGAGTCACAGAGGCAAAAGAATAGAAGCCCCTGTTTATAATCCAACTTTCTCACTGTGATAGCTAAGGGAACAGGAGTGATCAATCATCTGAAAGGGCGACCAAGTCATGGCAACAGAGAGGCATGGCCCAATGGAGCCTGCAACCTAAGAACTGGAATCTGGTCAACTGTTCCAGACCCTGTCAGAAGCAAGGCTCCCACAGAATAGCATAAGTTTGTAGATGGAGTCCAGAAAAAGGCAAGGACTAGCTTGTGGGTCCTTGACCTTAACCACAGGACGTGTGTCCTCTGGCCTACATTGCAGAACTCTTCCTAAACAGCAGGGTGGTTCAGGCTGCTAGAGCTCCATGCTGCCAGCTGTCAAGCTTGTCCGGCACCTCTACGCTCACGAGACAGCTCTCCCTCCATTAGCACTTGGCTTCCCATGCAGGGTCCACTCTAGGCACAGGAATGAATGATTAGGCCATGTATAGATTAAGGCCATTATCTGGGGGAGCCATTTTCTGATGAAAGGACAGGTTCAGCCCTCTTCTTCCTCTGTTTACCTATGTAACCAGAGCATGGTTTGTCACCTCAGGCTCTTCTAAACACTTGTCTTGGGGGTGGGCATGTGAGGCTCTTTATCTCAAGGCTAAATATATCTGCCTCTTTTAGGCCTCTGTGTGCAATATTTTCCAGACCTCTCTCCATCCTCGCCTAGGAAATCTTCACCGACAATGTTTTTTTATAGAATGTGAACGAGAACTCGCTGTGACTCCCGATGTTCCCTTCAGGGGTTTCCCAAACAGAAGAAGTGGAGCTGGGGATGTTGGTCAGATGGTAAACTGTTGGCCTAGCGTGTTCTGGGATTAATCCCCAGTGCTACACCAGCCAGATACAGTGACACTTGCCTATAATTTCAGGTGGTTGTAGGAGTATCAGAAGTTCAAGGTCATATTCAGCCACGTGAGTCCTTGTCTCCAAAATAAATAAATAAATAGATAATAAAAATAAAAAGTGAAGAGTGACTAGTGTGTGAGAGGGAGAAGGAACAGGAGGAGGAGGGGGAGGGGAGACTGATGCAGGAGGATAGTTACCACTGGTCTGTCACATGGGTTCCCGCCTCCAGCCCTCAGAAGAAAAGCTTCTGGAGCTAACTTAGGGCCACTGTAGATGACCGACCTCCTTAAGGCTTTGCTGTGTCAGTCTCTAAGAAACTGCGGTTTCAGCACTCAACAGTATCGGTCTGTCTACCTCACAGTCTTTGTCGACCCCATTGCCCCAGCATGCCTCAGGCTACCAGGTGGGAACTTGTAGTCAACACTGAACATACAGACTGCAGGCCTTCCCTATCCGTCTCCATCAGACTGTGTCCTTTTTGCATTCCCAGGGACCAGACTTGACCATCTTCTCCATGCAGCTACACAGTATGAGGAGACATCCTTCCTTGAGCATCAGATCTGAGAGGTTCAACTCCCTCTGTCTCTACTACAGGGTCAGTGAGCATTTCTGAGTAAGAGCGTTCTTGGGTTGCCTGTCAGCCAAAGCTATAAAGGACACTTCTGGGCCAGGCAACATCCCATTTACCTTACTTACTGTTTCTCCCCAAGATACTAGTGGGGTACTAGTGATATCTAGCCACACGCTGTGCTAGCCACGACCCCAACACAGCTACCCAAGTCTTTGCCAAGCTCCTAGGTAACAAAATTGCACATCTGATTCTGTCTACCTACAAGGCAGTACAGCAACTGCCCTGGGTATTTTCACAGCCTACGACCCTGCCCAAACTGTACCTAGGCCACAACAGATAGGACTCTTCTTCCAGCGCTAGGTTTGACACATTTTACCAGCATAACTTGGATTTGTTTTCTTTCTTCCCACTTTCTTGGCCCCACTCCCCGGGATTCTATATCTTAACAAAAGTAAATGTCAGATTTAGTTATCCCTCAAATCCCACCGAGGCCTCGATCGTGCACACTCTCTCATTGATGTCTTATACTGAGAACCTCAAGGAATGAGCTCCCCAGGTAGAAAAAAAGCTCTTGGGGGAAGGGGAGAGCTCTACACTTCTGGCCTGGGAGTCCTGGGCATCTGGCTGGGTTCACCGGAGCTCAAAGTCGGCGGTAAAGGCCCCTTTTGCCCGCCCCCCCTCCCGGCCGCGCTGCACCGAGAAGCTTGGCCGAGGCGTCCATCGGTCCGCAACGGCTCGTCTTACCTGGAGCGCCATGGCGGAACTCAGCTTCGCAACTCCCTGGCCCACCCAGCTTCCGGCGCGGCTCCGGTAGGAGGCTGCACCGAGACCCTCGAGACCCTCGAGAACAGCGGTCCAGCTCCGCACGACAGGAGGTGGGGCCGGGGGGTCGGGCCGTGCGGGGAGCCGCAGTGTTGGCTCGCCTGGGTCGGCCCGGCAGCTCGCATCCCTGGAGGGGGTGGTCCCGCTTCCGCCCGCAGCCCCCCAGCCTCACCGCGAAAACGACGCAGGCGCAGACTACACTTCCCAGAGGGCTCCGTGGCTGGGACGTGGCTCCGGGAGGTGTGGCGGGGGCGCTCTTTACTGCTCCGCCCCTCGCACCTCCAGCTCTTCAGGTTCTGGGATCCGCTTGGAGTCGGCTTCGTTCAGGCAGGCTTGCAGCTGCGCATGCTCAGGTGCAAAGAACCGTTCACCCAAACAACCACCCACCCACTCGTGCCTTCTGAGCGTGTCCTGTGCAGGTGCCAGGTGGGGATGCGTGGGTAAGAAGGTACCTGTTTCTCCCATAGGCCGCAGTCACGCAAACCCGACCCCGAGTGCCTGAGGGGCCAGGGCACAGTGACTCATAGCCACACTGACCTTTGTCATTATATTTTTTGTGACTGTTTGCTGGTCTCGCCCGCGGATGATGGCAGCCCCAGTAGTCTCTGACAAAGAGTAGGCCTAAGTATATGTGTGATGTATGGAATAAGTGTGAACCCCACCATCCCTGGGTTCGTTTGTGCTCCTGTCTGAGGTGCGTGTGCAGGCCGCAGGATGAGCCCTAGAGTCTCCTTTTCCTTCCTGGAGGAGCTCCTGCCCCTTATGTGGGAAAAACTCAATGAGGAGAAAGTTGTGAAGCTTCGCCTGCTCTTTGAAACAGGTGCTTGGAACCCAGCAGAAGCCACCCTGCCCAGTGCTTGTGCCTACCACCCCCTCCCTGAGCCCCCCCCCCCCCGTAACGCCTGCAGTATAGCCCCAATTCTGCGATTTTCCTAGGAAAGCGGATTTCTCGCCTAGTCACCCCAGTGTAGTTCTTTAGCGACACTGGCCTACATGAGCTTCCCTGGCTTTGTATCCTGATAGGCCAGAACACTGCCTGTGGCCCTGGAGGGAACAAGTGAGCAGAGACCATTAGCCATTGCTGCTCAGCACAGCGGAGAGAATTTCCTTCTTCATACACTGCAGGACAGTGCTGGAACCCGGGAAAGGCAAAGTGCAATCTCATCTCCAGTAGCATCTCAGGGTAAGTCCTAGGCCAGAAGCCAGGGACCCATGATCCCTAAGGCTTAAAATCCTCTCAAATTAAAACCTTAAAAAAAAAAAAAAAAGGAAGGCACAATGTCCAGCATGTAAAGTCCTCCTCCTGGCTGGGCTTGGCGCAGCATTTGCAGATTCTGGGCCAAGAACAGCTTAGCAACATCAAACTCGCTGAATGGCCAGTTGTTAAATTTATGGGAAAAAAAAAAAACATTATCCCTTTGATGGTTCTTGCCCCTACTCTAGCCTTTGTATCTCTGAGTTAAAAATTTTACTCCAGGTGGCAGGGGTTGTAGTCTGGGTATGCTACCATGACAAACTATGATTGTGTTCAGAGAGGCAAGAGAAGGCAAAGGTTTTGCTTTGTTTAGTTTTTTTCTTTAAAACTAAAATGACCAAGGTTGCAGAATTATTTTGAAATGAGTCCTTGGCTATAAGGATCAGAAAGGATCAATAAAATGTTATTAGTCCCACTCCGAATAGGCACTCACTAAATCGGCATCCTTTGTAGAAGTACTTTTTACCTACAAGGTTGCTGTGGCCTTTGTGTTAGGTGGCCTTGGCAATCTTTTATGACCATTTTTGTTATCAGCAAATATGTTTGAGGAAAGCCCTGTGGCTTTGTTATCGCCATGGCTTCCTGACTGCATTCTGTCAGCGGTTGACACAAGCGATTCTGTCAGTTGAATGTGAGTGGTTCTAGTTTGATCTCAACAATCACACATGAGCTCTGTATATGGACAAAGGGTGGAGCAGAAATGGTACGCTTTTGAAAAATCTCAGTAATTTAGGTTGGTTGTTCAGGAAATTGATATTCAGGGGCTTAGCTTTCTGCATATTTGGCATTTGGTTACCTGGCCATTCAACGCATTGGATAGACCAAGTCAGCTGTTTTGCTCAAATGAAACAGCTAGCTTCTGCTAGTAGTGAGCTGTACTGTCCATTTCTCCATATGAAAAAGGCCTGGGACTTAAAATAGTTTCTGATTACATTATGGTTTTCTTTTTCATCCATGAGTTAACCTAAAAAGACATTTGAATTTCCCATGATGAGGTTTTTACAGAAGCTGCAAGCTATTTGATTTCACCCTATATTCAGAGACTGTGATGTTGACTGTGATGGGTGTATCCAAACTTTGGATGTTGTGATAAAGTTTACCACCCAATCAAGTTACAAAAAATAGCAAGAGAAAGCTCATAAGTTTTTTTTTTTTTTTGGTTTTTCGAGACAGGGTTTCTCTGTAGCTTTAGAGCCTGTCCTGGAACTAGCTCTGTAGACCAGGCTGGACTCGAACTCACAGAGATCCGCCTGCCTCTGCCTCCGAGTGCTAGGATTAAAGGCGTGCGCCACCACCGCCCGGCTCTCATAAGATTTTAAGTAAGTTTATTATTTTGTGTTGAGTTGTACCCATAGCTATTATGGGTCAGGGGTAACACACACCTGCTAGAATTTTCTGAGACTTATTTTGTGTCAGTAAACCAAGAAACATTGAAATGTTTCATATTTCCTTCAGAAGACTGTTCATATTCTAATATCGGTTGTAATGAGCTAGTTAGAGATTACCATTCATATTGATTGTGTTTCTTATGCCTTTTATATAGTATCATTTATTTGTCTTTTGAATTATTTTAGGTTATTGAGCTGTGATAAAATCTCAAGAATATGTATTTATCTGTTTTTCTCTTTGTGTATTTGGTATTTGGTATTTAGAATTGTAGTATTTTCCAAGAGAATAGTTAATTTTAATTTTCGGAAGTAACGCTATTTCCAACAATGTATTTTGCCTATGATCTATTTTTATCTTATACTGTGCTTGCTAGGTGTGTTGGTTTGAGTGAGAATGACCCTCATGGGCTCATATATTTGAATACTTGCTCCCCAGTTGGTGGACCTGTTTAGGAAGTATTAGAAGCTGTGACTTTGTTGGAGGAGATCTGTCACTGAGCATGGGTCTTGAGGTTTCAAAGGACTCCCATCCCTAGTGTGTCTCTCTATTTGTACACTGGTGTGAAGGTGCATTGCTGTGATTGGTGTAATAAAAAGCTGAATAGCCAATAGCTAGGCAGGAAGTATAGATGGGATTTCCAGGGAGAAAAAAGAAAAGGAGAAATCTAGGCACAGGGAGTCTCCAGGAGACGTGCAGAAGAAACGGGAGGCACAAGACAGAAAGGTAATGCCAAATGATAGAATGTAGTTTAATATAAATGGCTTAATTTAAATTATAAGAGCTGGCTAGGAACAAGCCTAAGCTGTAGGCTGAGGTTTCATAATTAATAAGTCTACATGTCATTATTTAGGAACTGGCTGAAACAGGTTTGTTACATCTGTCTGCTTCAAAGCTGTGAATCAATGGTGAGTTCTCTTCACTTTGCCGTCATGGACTTTACCCCTTTACAAGGTTAGAGTAGCCAAATTAAATGCTTTCTGTTATAGGTTACCTCGGCCATGCTATTTAATTGCAGCAATAGAAAAGTCACTAAGCCTGGTGGTGGTGACATGTGCCTTTAATCCCAGCATTCGAGGCAGGCAGATTTCTGTGAGTTCAAGGCCTGCTTGCTCTACAGAGTGAGCTCCAGGACAGCCAGGACTGTTATACAGAGAAACCCTGTCTTGAAAAACAACAACAAAAACAAAACAAAAAGAAAGAAAAGAAGGAAGGAAAGAAAAGTAACTAAGAAATGTAAGAAGAACCTTTTGCCTGAAGCTTTGCTTGTGGGTAGAACAGGTGTGCTCTGTGCCAAAGTGACCCAAGTCCTCCAGAAAAAAAGGATACTTCAGCCAGGCGGTGGTGGCGCACGCCTTTAATCCCAGCACTCGGGAGGCAGAGGCAGGTGGATCTCTGTGAGTTCGAGGCCAGCCTGGTCTACAAGAGCTAGTTCTAGGACAGGAACCAAAAAGCTACAGAGAAACCCTGTCTTGAAAATCAAAAAAAAAAGGATACTTCTTTTCCTTGGAGCCTCAAGAAGGAGCTTCAGCCTGTTCACACTCTTGATTTTGGTCCAGTGACACAAATTTTGAATATCAGTCCTCCGGGTCTATAAGAAGATAAGTTTGATTTGCTTTAAGCTATGAGTTTTAATTGTCTTTTCTTCATTCACCGGACCCTCCAGATAGGTCAAGTCCCTGAGGCTGTTCAAGGATAGTTTGATCCCCAGAACCCACATGACAAAGACAGGCATGGTGGCATGTACTATAATGCCAGTACTGGGGAGTTAGAGGCAGGCTGATTCCTGAGGCTCACTGACTAGCCAGCCTAGCCTACTTGGTGAGTTCCAGGCCAGTAAGAAATCGTGTTAAAAACAACAAAAAGTGAATGATACCCGAGAAACAATATCTGAGTTGTCCTATAGCCTTAACATATACATTCTTGCCCAGCACTTGTGCCCCCCCATAGATACACACACACAGACACACACACACACACACACACACACACACACACACACACACACACACACACAGAGAGAGAGAGAGAGAGAGAGAGAGAGAGAGAGAATGAGAGAATGAGAGAAAGAGAGAGAGGAGAGAGAGAGAGACATGCACACTTTAAAAGGAAAAAAAATAATTATATTTGGTAAGTGAAATTTGAAGCTTGGGTAGGAGGGACTTGCAGTTCTGGGTCTGTGGCACTCGATGACACAGTTTTTTTTTTTTTTTTGATGACACAGTTTTAAATCACAATGAATTTTCTCTGAGATTTTAAGAAGTGCAGTACCCTTAGCTTTAGGATTAGAATAAAGAATGAGTTTTCAGCACTTAGCCTTAGTAATAAAAATAATGATAATAATAGAAAAGCAGGGGGCACCTGGATTTGAACCAGGGACCTCTTGATCTGCAGTCAAATGCTCTACCCCTGAGCTATACCCCCTAATGATGACTAGGATCTAAATAGTGCCTATACCTGTGTAACCATGCTCATCATATCTATAAAATATTGCTATGGGTATTTATTCAACTGTGATTCCCAGGAGCCACCAAACTTGCCTGACTACAAATTTACCTCTACAATATAAAACAAACAATGGGTTCTCTTCCCAATCTTGAGCTTTTTGGGACAAGACTGGCACCGGCACTGATGACTGATAGGGTCTAAAGAGTCAGTCCTCAGCATGGGGGCCGTGGGAGAGGGTAGAAGGGGAGGGGAGAGGAAGGGAGGGAGGGAAACAGAGAAAAATATAGAGCTCAGTAAAAGCAATAAAATAATAATAATAATAATAATAATAAACCATGAGGAAACTTATTTTAAAACAACTCTGGAATTAAAAAAAAAAGAGGCAGTACTCTGTCCTCTGTGTCCTTCATAGCAGGCATCTGGCAACAGAATGTCAAAATTAACATGCTTCTCAGGCACACACAGCATTAGGAACTGAGTTCATTCTTCATCACTGGGTTTAGGACCCTTTACTCAACCATCTTAAATTGTCCCCTTGCCTCAGTGCAAAGACCATACCAGGAGCTATGTGGATAGATTTATACACTCTTAAGGCACTGGGACTTGGGGGACTGGAACACAGATTTGAGAGGGCAGGAACATCCTCTACAACTCAAGGACTTCAGAGTTGACTGATGGGGACCTTGAGGATTGGAACAGGTGCTGAATCACTCCTTTGGGGACAGTCTACAGATTTTATGTCCCAGAAATCATCCAGGGAGCTTGCTACAGACATCACTTGATATTAGGAATAAGATTCTGATGGCAGTCCGGAAACCCCTTGGAAGAACTCCTGCCCCAGATCTAGACCTGCTGTCTACACTCTGAAGGAAGAAGTAAGAACTGCAACGTAAGAAGAGTCCAGCATAGGCATCTCATAGTGGCACCTAGTGTTGGCCCAAAGTGCCAGGTTTTAAGTAGGAACCTTGCTGAATGCTCTGAAATGTGTTCTAAACTAGTGGCTTCTAATTTTAGGGTGCATCAGGGTACCAGAAACAAACTCAGAGAGTAGGTCTATTGGGAAAGGGGAACATTCCAATGAGGGAGGTCAGTAC